TATTCAATAGTATGGATGATAAAAATGATGTACTATACTCGGGACCATATACAATGGGAGTGAAGCCATTGATTCTGAAATCATGGACAGAGGACTTTGATTTGTACAATGAAGTTCTTAAAACTATTCCATTATGGGTAAGCTTCCCTAACTTGCCTTTGAACTATTGGGGACGATTGACATTGAGTAGAATTGCTAGTGGACTAGGAACACCTTTGTATGCTGATGAGTGTACAAGTAATGCTTCTAGAATATCCTATGCTCGAGTGCTTATAGAGATGGATATCAGCAAGGAGTTACCTAAGTGTATCAAAATTCAAGATCCTTCAGGCAAAGAGTTTGAGCAAATGGCGGAGTATGATTGGGTTCCACAGTATTGTAAGAAGTGTTTGATGGTGGGTCATGATTGTGAAAGAGTTCAAGGCAGAGCTGAAACAACAAAAAGAAGTGTTCAAAATGAGCAACATCAGACTAAACAGCAAGGAAGGAGTACCAATATAATTGGGAATATTCAGCAAACAAGGAAACCAACAACTCAATGGGTGACAATAGGGCCATCAAAGCAAGTAGAGAGGGACACGGGCAAACAGATCGATCAAGGAGATGAAACACAGAATCCAAAAGAAGATCAACAAGTATGGACAAAAGCAAAGGGCAGGGTGGGACTGACAAGTCCTATACAGCAAGTTATAAGGACTACAAATGGCTTTTCTCCATTGAGAGAAGTAACAAATGAAGGCAAAACATGCTGGGCAGATGATGATAAAGCTGAATGTAGTAGGGGAGAAGGTGAAGAGATAATTCCAACTAAACAGAAACCTATATGAAGATAGTGACATGGAATGTGAGGGGTTTTAATAAGGTTCATAAGCAAAAGGAGATGAAAATTTTCTTGGAAAAACAAAAAATCAATCTTATAGCAATAGTTAAACATAGAGTACAGAATACTAAAGAAAAAGAGGTCATAAATAAGTGTGCACCAGGCTGGAGTTGGTGTTCAAATAGTAAGGCTACTGATAGAGGTAGAATTTGGATTCTCTGGGATGCAAATAGTATTCAATTCACTATGTTGCAATCTCATACTCAATATATTCATGGTATAATCAAGGATAATAGCTCCAGCAAGCAATTTGCGTTTACAACTATATATGGACTGCATACTGCTGCCCATATGTGTGATATGTGGGAAGAATTAAGAAATTGATTCGCAGATGAATGGTCCTTGGCTGCTCATGGGGGTCTTTAATGCAGTATTGGACAAAGAAGACAGGGTAAATGGTACAGAAATACAGGATAATGAAATCAAGGACTTTAGAGCTCTAATGGAGGATTGCAGGTTAAATGAACTAAGATCTGTGGGAAGAACTTACACATGGACATATGTTTAATAGAATTGATAGAGCTATTGGAAATGCACATTGGATGATGAATATGCCACCACTGCAAGTCTGTATGATGGATCCTCATTTCTCTGATTACTCTCCTTTATGTATATGGGTGGAGACAGGAATGGAGTATGAAGGGAGACCTTTCAAGTTTTTTCTCACTGAGCATCCAGAGTTTGAAGAAAGAATAAGAAGCAGATGGGAAAAGGAGAATAGAAATATGAAAGATATATGGTGTAATTTGAAGCAGGTTAAAAAAGAGATGAAAAGGTTAAACAAGAGAGAATTTTCCAATACAACAAAGAAGGTGCAGTAGCTAAGGGAAGAATTAGCAAACATTCAAGCACAGATGAGAACAACTAACACAACAGCTGATATGTTTGAAGTGGAGAGAAACACAAAGCAGCAGCTAGAGAAGTGGAGTAATATAGAAGAGAGCATCTATAAGCAAAGGTCTCGAATACAATGGCTTCAGCTAGGTGATTCCAACACAACTTTTTTATTTGCAAGCATGAAAGGAAGAGTAGCACAAAATTAAATAAAGAGTTTAATAGATAGCAATGGAAGATTAATCAACAATCCAGAGGGCATTGAACATGAGATAGTGGGGTTCTATAGAGGATTATTAGGGAGATCAACTAACAACATGCCTACTATTAATCCTAGCAGAATGAGGAATGGTCCAAGACTTAAAAGGTCACAACAGCTTCAGCTTATAGCCCCTTTTACTAAGGAAGATGTGAAGACAGCCTAGCAGGGAATTGGTGACTCAAAGGCACCAAGTGGAGATGGTTTCAATGCCTACTTCTACAAGAAGACTTGGCATATAATTGGCAAGGACATTACAGAAGCTGTTCTGAAATTCTTTGATGATGGTATGATGTATAAACCAATAAACAGGACAACAGTTACTTTGATCCCAAAAGTGAAAAATCCTTCTTCTATAAAGCAGTTTAGGCCAATATCCTGTTGCACTATTGTTTACAAAATTATTTCCAAAATGTTCACAAATAGGCTGCAGTCAGTAATGGGAGACTTAGTTGATCTGAGTCAGGCAGCATTTGTACCAGGGAGAATACTGAGTGACAATGTTCTACTGGGGCATGAACTTGTTAAAGGATATGGGAGAAAAGGTGTGTCACCAAGATGTATGGTTAAAATTGATATGCAAAAGGCGCATGATTCTGTAGAATGGAGTTTCCTTGAACAAGTACTTACAGAAATGAATATCCCAGGGAAATTTCTTTCTTGGATTATGACATGTGTTACTACAGTGTCTTATGCTATTGTGGTTAATGGAAAGCCAACAACTCCTTTTGATGCAAAGAGAGGAGTTAGACAAGGTGATCCATTATCACCATATTTGTTTGTTCTAGCTATGGAGTATCTTACAAGGAGCTTTAAGACTCTTAAAGAGAAGCCTGACTTTAACTACCATCCTAGGTGTGAGAAGCTGAATATTATCCAACTCAGTTTTGCAGATGACTTCTTGCTATTTTGCAGGGGATATGTGGTATCTATACAGCTATTATATGAATTTTTCAATAGTTTTCAAAGGCTTCAGGGCTGATAGCTAATCAGGAAAAAAGCTGTATCTATTTTGGAGGGGTCACTGAAGATATTCAACAAAATATTATCAAGTGCTTAGGTTTTTCTAAAGGCTCTTTGCCTTTCAGATACTTGGGAGTCCCATTGAGTAGTAAAAGGCTAACTATTGCACAGTGTCAACCTTTACTGGATAAGATGTTAGGCAGAATCAAAAACTGGACAGCAAAGTTTCTGTCTTATGCAGGCAGGTTGCAGCTGATCAAAAGTGTTTTATTTGCTATCCAATCATTTTGGTCACAGATATTTCCTTTACCTAAGAAGATCCTACAAGGAATTGAGACAATTTGCAAGAGATTTCTGTGGACAGGTCAAACAAAAACCAAAGCTAAAGTTTTAATAGCTTGGGGACAATTATGTTGGCCAAAATCTGCAGGGGGTCTGAATATCACAGATATGGTTATATGGAATAGAGCTGCACTAATCAAACAACTGTGGAATCTAAACAAGAAGAAGGATAGATTGTGGATACAGTGGATTCATGCTTACTACATCAAACAACAAGTAATATGGCAAGTGAAAGCTAATCAAACCTCATGGTTAGTGCAAAAAATTCTGGGAGCTGGTAAATACCTAACTGAGGCTAACATAGCAATTGACGAAGTGTTGAGCATGAAGGACTCCATCAGATTGATATACAACAAGTTGAGAGGTGATCTGCCTGAAGTGGAGTGGAGGAGATTACTATGTAATAACTGGAGCAGTCCTAAATGGAGAATCATTTTGTACTTGGCAATCCTGGAAAGGTTGTATACGAGAGACAGACTAATAGGATGGGCATATCAATCAGTTCAGCATGCTCCTTATGTGAAAGGGTAGCAGAAAGTCATGAACACTTGTTTTTTCAATGCAACTACTCAGCAAGTATACGGAGGAAGCTGCTACAATGGATAGGGATACAAAGGAATGTACAAGGTTGAGATGCTGAAAAACAGTGGGCAATAAGGCATGCACTAGGAAAGAAGCAAATGTGTGCAACATACAGAATGATATTCGCTTGTGCTGTTTATTATATTTGGCAGGAACGAAACTGGAGAACCTTCAGAGGAACACAAAGAAACAGTGAGGAGATGATCAAACTGATAATCCAAGAAGTGCATTGTCGTGGAATGTTAAATTCTAAGATAGCAAGATACTTACGAAAAAAATTTTTATCCATAATTTTGTAGTTGAATAGTTATGTAGATATGAGGGCACTAGATTTGGGGCTGCATGTCCAAATCTATGTGAGTTTTTGAGGGTTCTTGCTATACTTGTAAATATTTTCCCTGGTAATACGAAATTTAATTACCAAAAAAATATTAACCTCGCATTATTAAAGCTAAATTTGAAAAGACATGCATATACCTAAAAACTGCAATTATTTTGGGTTTTTTTCACTTTTAACCTGCGCCAGAAACTATTTACATTTGGTAGCCGAAAAAGTGTATAAAATTTATACAGTATAATTTTTGTATATAACATACAGAGTGTATATATGTGTATATATACACACACACAAACAATACACAAAAATATATATTTTTGGCTATTATTTTGAGAGCGGCTATACAGTGTCATTTTCCTAATTATTTTCGTTAAATATTAGATTATTTGAGAGAGAATTTAGAGAAGACCGAGAAAAAAAAATCTCTTTTCCATTTATGCCACGTAAGCAAAAGACAGTAATCTGTTTCGAGTCGTCACTTCTCAGTCAAACAAAATCTTAAATCAACGGCTGCAAACGCCTTTAATTTCTCATCATCACCGTCAATTTCATTTTCAAATTTTAAATTGTTAAACCCCAAGGTTATTCCCGTCATTTCACAACCTCTAACGCGCGCATCTGAAAAAATACTCAACCGTTTGAAACAACACACAGAGCTATAACAGTCTTCTTTCTTCAACAAACTTCAACTTCCAAACTGTTACTTAACCCCCCCCCCCCCCCCCAACAAGCCCAAACCCCCAAAACCAAAATTCAAAATAGAGAAAAAAACGCTAACTCAGAAAAAATTTCAGTTCTCAAAAATGTCTACGAAGATTTTTGAAGCTTACAAGAAGAGTAAAAGAACACCAAATTTTTATGGCTTTCATAGCTTTCTTGATCCGGGTTGTCCAATTAAACCAACGGGTCCGTTTCGAGATAATGTTCGATTGTATCTTCAACAATGTGCTGAGCTTGAGGAGTATACAGTAGAAGGAATGCAAATTTGGAGTACATTTTTAGTGCATAAAAACAGAGGCGTTGTGATTCCTCTCTATACCATTGAAGAAAACGTGAAGAATAATGATAGAAGTTTTTGTGATCACTGTAGATGTGCTGGTATGTCTTGAATTTATCAACAACCTTTTGGTGTTTTTTTTAGTGATTTTTGAAATTCGGGTTCTGGGGAAATTCTTGGTTTTTTTAAGCATTTCTCGATTTTTTTTCTGGGCTGGGGGGGGGGGGGGGGTTGAGATTTAAACTCTAAGAGCTGGTAATTTTTGAGTTTTTGAACACCCTTTTGTTTTTGTATTTGATTTTTGAAATATGGGTTTTGGGAAATTCTTATTATTTTTTTCCAAGCATTTCATAATTTTTTGGGGAGATTTGAATTTTCGGGTTTATGGGTTTAAGGATTTTGATTGCTGCAATTGTGCTGGTAACTCATAAATTTGAACACATTTTTGGTCATTTATTGGTTATAGTATTTTTTCTTTTCTTTTTTTTGTAAGATTTGAATTTTGTCTTTAAACTGATTTTTGAATTTGGGTTTTGGGAATTCCTTCATATTTTTTAGATTTGAGTTTTGGTACGTTCTGTTTGAATTTGAACACCCTTCAGTTCTATTTATTTGTGAGTTGGTTGTGGAAATTTATTGTTTTTATTAGAGTATTTTGTTTTGGGGTTTATGGGGTTTAAGGATTTATGAGGATTTTGTGAATTTTCAGGTTGGAGTCATCATTTTGTTTCAAAGAGGAAGTACCATTTGATTATTCCAGCTGATTGTGAATGGAACCAGCATCTTAATGATGGTGTTTTTGATGATCAAACTCACATTTTGCATGGTTTGATTCATTGTAACGGATTTGGGCATTTGATTTGCATTAATGGAAATGAAGGCGGATCCAAATTTCTCTGTGGCCGCGAAGTTATGGACCTTTGGGATCGTATTTGCACTAATCTTAGAGCTCGGTAATAAACATTTCTCTAAAGTATTTGATGTATCAGATTCAGGTTTTGAATGTATTAGTTGAGTTCTTGAAATATTTTCATCTGTTTTTTGAAGGAAAATCACTGTTGAAGATATATCGAAGAAGCATTCAATGGATTTGCGTTTGTTGTATGGGGTTGCCTATGGGCATACGTGGTTTGGCCGATGGGATTACAAATTTAGCCATGGAAGTTTTGGGATAATGGAGCACAATTATGAAAGAGCTATTGAAATGCTCAGCTCAATTGAACTTGATCAGGTGATTGATGATTTCAGATACAGCAGCAGATCCAATGTAATGAAACAGATGGTTGTTTGCTATAGAGGTTTGAGTGACACTCCTTTAACTACGGCCCGTGACCTCTTCAGATTCATGCTTGCTGTGAAGTCCTGCAATTCAATTAAGGAGAAGCCAAATGTTGCTCCTGTTGTAAGAGCATGTTCTTCGTCGAGATATTTGATAAGAAATGCTGCACCAAGCAAATCTGAGGGGAAGGAAAAATCAGCAAGGTATAGAAAGTTTTCTAACATTGCGGCATCTCTTGACAGTAGATGGCCAGTGAGAAGACTTGAGTTCACTGCAGATGTGATTGTTGATGCATTGAAAGAAAAGAAAGCAACAAACAGATTCGGAAGTTGTGGTATGAGTAGGCAGGAGGCGCGTGATGCTGCTCGTCTCCACATTGGCGATACGGGGTTGATTGATTATGTTCTGAAATCGATGAATAATGTGATCGTTGGAGGCTATGTAGTTCGTCGTGCTGTGAATCGAGCTACCAGGGTGTTGGAGTACACGATTCAGGAGCTTCGGAATTGTGATCAATCTGAACAAGAAAAGCTCCCTGAGCCAGTTCATAACTATGCTGTTTATCCTGGAACTGATGTTTACAATGATGTTTTATGCTTGTATAATAATCTGCTATTAAGCTTTGCAGAATCTGATGTGCTAAAGCTAGCTGTTAGGACAGTTTTGGATAGTAAGCATTTTGTGAAGGAATGGCCATTTAGGGATGATCCAGATGACATATTGTTGAGGTTCATCTGCTGCATTTTGCCAAGTTCTAGTGGTTTGGAAGCTGTACTTAGAAAGGGATATCCCCCGGGAGAGATGGTTGAAGTTCCTCTACATTCGACAATTGGTGATTTAAAAACAGCTATTGAGTCTGCAATGAGGGACACATATTGCATTATGGACAATTTTATGGTAACGGATATTGTAGGGATGGAAACAATGGAAGATTGTGAAGTGCTCTTTGGCATTATCGAGTCAGGCTCAGAACTTTGGGTGAGGGGTTTCGGGTTGGATTTGGAAAGTGAGTTGAAAAATGAAGGAGGGGCTGATAATTGGACAGTGAACTGTAGGTGTGGGGCTCGGGACGATGATGGTGAAAGGATGGTTTCGTGTGATATATGTGAGATATGGCAGCACACTCGCTGCTGTGGGATCGAGGATTCTGAGGTTGTGCCACCGTTGTTTGTGTGTGAGGCTTGTTGCACTTCACTTGCACCACCAAGAGCACAGAACAGCTTTGAGTTTGGTCTTTATGCGACATCACTAGTGCCTTGTGATTCTGAATTTGGTATATACTGAAGTTAGGGGCAGAGAGTGGCAATTCTGTATAGCCATAACAGTCAGTCATATACTTGTGCAGTTTTTCTGTGTTTTTTTCTGTTGTTACACGTGTTACTCGATTCTTTTAAGGACAAACTCAATAATCAATGATGATTCATATATCCTGCGCATTCCCTGCTTGTTTACACATTTCTTTCAGCACTTAAAGTACATTTACTTGTTTGATAGAAAGAAATAAGAATGAAAAACAGCAGGCTATGAAGCTGAAAGACTGAAAGAATAAGAGTTGTCTAGGTAAATGTGACTAAAGTGATTAATAAGAATTAGAACTTCTGCTAGTAATAAATTTTACATGGGAAATGTTCCATCCAAAGGTTCTTGTGGTTCTGAACTATACAATGAACTCTACAATCTCCTCTTTCTCATCTCTAGTCCTACTTTACAAAATTTCATAGGCAAAAGAATTTGCACCACGGTCCTACTCATGATCTCCTCAAGCGGGAAGTGAGATCAATGAACTCATCCTCTTCGATAGGTATTGTGAGACCGCCCATTGGATGATCAAAGCCAAACTCTTCTTCAGCTTGAGCTAATAAGTCTTGGAATAAAGGCTGCCTCAGGTATGATATTGGCACGACGAATCTCTTCTTCTGACTCTCCCCTACATATACTGCACAATGTCCTTTTGGAACACCTCCACTTGTTGTGGACCTCCTTAGGATTCGATTAGCCTGAATAAATGGAGTCATTTTGATACCCATTGTCTCAAGGAGTATTTGTTAACTCAAAATGGTGAAGGAAAAAAAAAAGAACAAGAATTTGAGAATTGTACAGAAAATGGAAGTTTTCTTTTGTAATCTGGATACTTGTGTTTTGCTCAAATCCTTTGTGTTATATAAGTTAATGGTAAGTCTCATAACCAACTGGTGATAGACAACATCACATGAAGTTTCACATGGTTTTGCTTACTCTGGTATTTTCAAAGTATTCAGACCATAAATTTGTTGAACAACAACACTAGGCCCTACTGCTTCTCAGATTTGGAACAGAAAAAGACACCCTTAAAATAAAAGCCACAAGAGTGGATGAAGTGTATGACTAAGTATCACATGGTATTTCTTTCTAACTCCTTGACAAGAACTTAGTATTTTAGGCCATATTTGTGGAATAACAGCAGGTTTCTCATACTCCTATTAACCTAAACTCAGCTTTAATGCATTTGTTCTTTTATAGCAAAACTAGCCAAGATGAGAAATCAAAGGTCCCCTATCTACATGACCAAGAAGGGAGAAGCACATGGTTTTGCTTCTAACCTGCAATTGCTCAGCTAATGGTTTCAAATTATGGGCATTGGTGAGAAGTAACCAAGTATGAGCTGATATCATTACTAATAGGCCCCGGTTGTCGATCAAAGTAAAAAAAAGAAGAAACTTAGCTTCATCCACAAATTTAAGGTCCCATATCAACATAGCCAACAGGCATCAGCACATGGCCTTGCCTTTGGTTGTTAGTAGCAAAACTTCAGCTCCAACTACAAAGCCTGTCTACAACCTCTTGTATAAATAACCCCCTTTTTCTGTGGACATTTTTCATCATCAAGTAAAAGCATTATCTATTCGGCCATCAAAAGTTTCTAAATTTTTAGTTTACTTTCTTGCTTCCTTACTTTCAAGAAAAAGAAAAATGGAAAGAAAGACAATGGTCAGTACCAAGAAGCTCATCAAAATGGCAAGGAGATGGCAAAAGTTCGCGGTCAAGCAGAGGAAGCGGATTTCACTTCCAAGAAATGGAAGTGATAAATACAGTTGCAGTACATCCTCATCCTCTATTGTTGAAAAGGGTCATTTTGTAGTATATACAGATGATCAAGCGCGTTTTGTCATTCCCTTGGTTTACCTTGAAAATGAGGTCATTAGGCAACTTTTAAGCATGTCCGAAGAAGAGTTTGGACTACCAAGTGGTGGTCCTATAACATTACCATGTGATTCGGCATTCATGGACTACATCATGTCACTGATCAAGAAAGGTGTAACTGCTGGAGATCATCACAAAGCATTGCTCCTCTCAATTCCTTCATGTTGCTGTTCAACTTCTTCCTTTCACCAAGAAAGTGGAAATCAACAGATTCTTGTTTATTGAGACATGAAACGGTCATATTTTGTAAATGATAGCTCAAAACAGATTGTATAGCAGAAGAAAAATAGGCAACTGAAATTTGTTTCATTAGATATGGAATAGAGCTTTAACATTCTCATCTTGGAGTAGCACTATTATTTTATTGCAGGCAATTGACTTTGTCTATCGAAAACTTAGAGACGTATGAATCAAAACAACACAAGTTTAAATGACATGAAAAATTAATTGTAAAGAGTTTAAACGAAGTGAAATCATTAACTGTTACTTTTCCAGACTTCCTTTGCAGTTAATGTTAATGCTTGATAAGTATAGATTGAAAGGAAGCTGCAAATTACGACAACCAATTAGAAAGCTAATCCTACGCCACCCTAATTGGCCACCACTTTGATTATTGTTTCTGGTAATAGGTCATTCATATCCAAATGTACAAATGGATCCTACAAGTTTTCCCCTGGCCATAATACCGGAGCGCAGGTCTTAAGTGATAGTGGACATGCTCACAAATATGTAAAGATATTTACATGTGTAATTTCAATTACCTTATAGCTTGGATGTAAATAAGTAATAATATCTGGAAAGACTGCAAGACAAACCACCTGCCAAGAACAAGTAGTTTAGTAAGTTGCAATGATTCAAAAAGACTTTGAATAGTGCATTTCTCTAGACTTACAAGACATGGTCTCTGATAGGCTTAGTGGAATTGAAGAGTAAAGCAGCCTCAAGTTTGGACAAATTATGGAGCACCGAAACTATGGCCTATCGCTCAATGAAACAGAATTTCTCATCTTTGTAGAGCAACAAACATTTCCCTTGCTTCTCTGAGAGAAGTCATCGGCTGCTGAATTTAGAAATTGAGACAGAAAACACAAAACAAAGCATCTGGAGATCTGGAGCTTTTAAACTTTTAGGAGTTTTAACAGACACAGAAAGGAGGGTCGAAGAGCTGTAAATAGCTATAGTAGTACTTAATTGTTGGTGTCAATAGAGCCAGCAGCACAATTATGCAAAATGTCAGGCACATTCGTCTACTGAAGTAGGAAACATGAACATATAAAAGGTTTTTGAGTCTTCCAATCAACTGACTTTAAAAAATTTGCTTGAATAAAATTTGGCTATATTCATATGACAGGAGGTTAGTCATTTTAACAAACTTTACAAGCAGAAAATCCTTGTTTTCTACTACTACTATACAAAATGGTTAAGTAAAAACAAGGAATTGTTTCCCTCATTGTCAAGTCCCACTTAAATGGAAGTGACATCTCTACTATCACTCATCTTTCTCATTTCTAAACTATTGCTTTACAAAATTTCATGGGCAGAAGAATCTGCACCATGGTCCTACTCATAATCTCCTCAAGCGGGAGGTGAGATCAATGAACACTTCCTCTTTGCAAGGTATTGTGAGACCGCCCATTGGATGATCAAATCCAAACTCTTCCTCGGCTTGAGCTAACAAGTCTTGAAATAAAGGCTGGCTCAGGTATGATATTGGCACAACGAATCGCTTCTTCTGGCTCTCTCCTACATATACTGCGCAATGTCCTTTTGGAACACCTCCAGTTGTTGAAGACCTCCTTAGGGTTCGAGTAGCCTGAATAAATGGAGTCACTTTGATACCCATAGTCTCGAGGAATATGATGTAACTATAAATAATGAAGGAAAATAAAGAACGAGAACTTTGAGAATTGCACAGAAAATGGAAGTTTTTTGAATGTCAGGATACTTGTGTTTTAATCAAATGCTTTGGGTCAGATTATATATAAGTTTATGACAAGTTTCATATCCAAAAGTTCAGTGGTTAAGAGAAATTGGTGGCTACAGGTGAGAGACAATGGCATATGAAGTTTCACATGGTTTTGCCTACTCTATTATTGTCAAATAACTTAGACCATAAATTTTGTTGAACAACGACACTAGGCCCTACTGCTTCTTATGATAGGGAGCAGAAAAAGACACACTTAAAATAACATCCACAAAAATGGATAAATTTGATGATTTAGTCCAGGACCACCTGGTTTAGAGGTGAGGTGACAGAGAATGCCAGATAGGAATAGCAACAGAAATACCACAAGAGAAAGAAAGATAACATGACATGAAATATCACATGCCACTGCCTTCTAACTCTTAGACAAGCACATAGAATTTTATACCATATTTGTAGAATAACAACAAATTTCTCACAATCCAATTAAATGAACTTGTCTGCTGTTTTCATCAACTCAATAAGAAAGATCAATTATATGACTCATTCTTTAAATTCTACTTTAGCATAGCCCATTGTTGTTATTCTGCACATAAAAAGGGAAGAAATGCATTAACTTCTTTTCTTCAATTGCAGAACTAGACAACCAGCCATATCCACAATTCATTAGGTCCCATATTCAACAGCAGCACATGATTCTGCCGTGCCTACCTAACTCAGGTTGACAACGTTAGCTACAATTCAAATTCATTCTCTAGCCTCAACTATAAATGAACTGCTTCCATGAGCCATTTTGATCATCAAGCAGATAGCAATTACTCAAACCATTTGAAAAGTAACCAACCTATTTTTACTTTCCTATCTTCCAAAGAAATCAATATGGTCAGTATTAAGAAACTGATAAAAATGGCAAGGAGATGGCAGAAGTTTGCAGCTAAGCAAAGGAAGAGGATTTCTTTACCAAGATCAAGTTACAATGATGCAGAAAGCTGTAGCACATCATCTTCTATAGTTGGCAAAGGGCATTTTGTGGTGTATACAACTGATCAGAAGCGATTTGTGGTTCCTTTGGCTTATCTTAAACACGAGATAATCAGAGAACTATTGCACATGTCTGAAGAAGAGTTTGGACTTCCAAGTGATGGCCCTATCACTTTACCATGTGATGCCTTATTCTTGAATTACATCATATCACTCATCAGAAGAGGTGTAACTGTAGATCCTCAGAATGCTTTGCTTGTATCAGTCGCTTCCACTCGATGCTCATCAGCTTCATACCTTCAAGAACCAAGTCACCGGCAACTCCTAGTTTGTTGAGCTAACTTCAATATGTTTTGTAATTTATACATGATACTCAACAAGTTTACATAATGTTAGCATCTAATTGTCATGAAAACTCCATATTCTTATCCAAACTGTTTTATTCTTTATAAATTGGGAAAATCTAATTGCATATTCGTTGCTCTTTAGTAGTCTTGCACCTAGAATATATAGCTTGTGGCTTTCACAATCACCGGGTAAGTTGATAAGCTCAATTCAAAGAACGTAATGTCAAAAGCTTCATTAAATCATTCTTTCCAGCATGAAGAAGTAAAAAAAAAAGACTATTGACTTAATTGTAAGAGGATGCACCAGGGGCTTCCGCAAAAGTCTAATTTCAACCAAGATGATTTAGTTTCCTTGTTGTTAATGTTGTCTTCTAAGTAAATTGTAAACAATTTTTAACTTGCCATTTTCAATTTATAAACAATTACATGAACAATAGCAAGTAGCCAGTAGGTATTAAAGCCCAAGAAAATTAGCAAATTTTGGACAATGGAAAGGGCAGTTGATCCTTTCCATTTGCACATAGGAAGACTTGATATCATAACTAATAAGTCAACAAAAGATGAGAGTAGGTAGGAAGAAGTCTAATATTCAATGTGAAGGTCCCCTACCAAAAGGACAAGGCAGGCAGGCAGCACATGGTTCAACAAACTTAATCTACAACAACAACAACTACGCCTCGGTCTCAAACAAGTTGGGATCGGCAATATGAATCCTCATTCTTTTCATTAAGCTCAACTGATATCATTATTCATTACCAAAAAACATAAAAGTGCAAGTAAATTATGAGTTCCATCATGAATTAGCAAGTTTTACGCAAGCTGCTAACCTAACGCAACCTTCCTCCTTTTCGAGCTTGGGACCGGCAATGTAAGCGAGCTCACACCGGCAGAGTTGTTAAGCGAACTTAATCTATCACAGAGAGAACTAGTCTTCATTCAGAGGTCTCAAACTCTTCAAGTTGGCGAGACGAGAAGTCCTAAAGTGTGACTTGATAGGTCCATTCTGTTGTCGACCAAAGTGAAGATTTAAGTGTCTCTTACTCCCACGATATTTTCTGGTCATAGCAGCGGTAAAATGCTACTGCCAAATTTCACACCAAGAGAAGCGGATGAAACAATGAATTGCAAAAGTTCTTATTTTTCAAGTCAAAATGAAAATGTTTGATAGTAAAAGAATGTCCTGGCATCTCTTCGACCAAAAACCCCGGAATAAAATTCCTTCTCTTGGGTAAAGTTTCTTCATTCATCTTCGGTACTAACAAGCCTTCCCTTTACTAAGCTTGGAGTGCTAATCTCTAACTCCTCAACTTACAAGCTATAATTCCTGCTTTACTAGTGTACAAATTGTTTAAGGGAAACAATTTGTACATGGTTCAGCAAACTTAAAATTAAAAGCCACTAGAATGGATATAGCTCATGACAAAATTCTGGACCACTTGGCTTGACACAGACTCAGAAAAGAAGGATAACCAGATAGGCATATCAACACAAATACCACAGTTCTTAGGTCCCTTACATGATGTCTGTTACATTTTATTAGTCCTACTCAAGCTTGGCTGTGTTTGTTCTTATACTACACTACAGAGCAAAATGGTAGAACTGAAAAATTAGACAACCAGCGATATCCACAATGCAGTAGGTCCCATATTCAACAGCAGCACATGATTCTTCCGAGCACACCTAACTAAGGTTGATAACCACAGCTTATAATTGAAATTTATTCTCTAGCCTTACTATAAATAAACTGCTCCGATGAGCCACATTTTGATCATCAAGCAGATAGCACAATCAAACCTTCAAAAATATCCTCAAGTTTTTCTCATTCCTTTATTCCAAAGAAAATCAATATGATCGATGTTAAGAAACTGATCAAGCTGGCAAGGAAATGGCAAAATTTTGCAGCCAAACAAAGGAAGAGAATTTCTTTTCCAAGATCCAACTACCATGACGCAGAAAGTTGTAGCACACCAACTTCCATAGTTGGTAAAGGGTATTTTGTGGTCTATACAACTGATCAGAAGCGATTTGTAGTTCCGTTGGCTTATCTACAACATGAGGTAATCAGACAACTGTTGCGCATGTCTGAAGAAGAGTTTGGAATTCCAAGTGATGGCCCTATCACTTTACCATGTGATGCACTATTCATGAACTATATTATATCACTCATCAGAAGAGGTGTATCTGCTGATCTTCAGAAAGCGTTGCTTGTATCAGTTGCTTCGAGCCAATGCTCATCAGCTTTATGCCTTCAAGAACAAAGAAATCCCCAAGTGCTAGTTTATTGACCTATGATAAGTTTTGTAGTAGTCTAGGATACAAAATACTCCACAAGTGTACAGCATATTAAAATCTCAATTATTCATCAGAATTCTCTATTCTTGTCTCCAAACTCTTTAATTTTCTGATCATTTAGGAGAATCTGATTCTTTTATTTGCTTTCTAGTAGTCCTATAATTTGATTGAACTCCACTAATTATGACAACATTAAATGAGAATGGATGAACAGACAATATGATGTGGATTACAAATTTTTATGTGGTCAATTTTGGGACCAGCCTAGAAAATTTTAACAAAACAAGCAGTGAACAATAAGCAGGGATCCAATCTTTTGATTTTGGAATATTACATGACAAGGACTATAACATTACAGAACTTTCATATTCTAACCAATAGGGTTATAGATCTCTGTAGGTCACACACCCTTAATATATCAAATGGAAAGTTGTGTCAAGGGCTGAATAAAGCCATCTTTTCAAGCAGTATAGAGAGCAAACTTCTATACTGAAACAAAAGTCAAGAACCATTCGTACATCTATGTTGCAGTCGCTTTATCACATTTATTTTTTCTCAAGGGAACAATATCCCTTCAATTGTTACGTCCTTCACTTTCTTCTAAATAAACCACACCATTTTGTAAGATATCATCTTTTGATCTTCTTCATATGCACACCTCTCCCTCCACCAAAGAAAAGAAAAAGACTTATTAAATTAATTGATAAAGTAGATTTTTCTTTGGTTGCTATTCCCCCATTTGTTTCGACACTATCAACTAAAGATTGGGTTTTCTTACTGTTAAATGTGTCTTTGAGTAAAATTTGTGACCAGTGTTAACTCACCAAATTTTCAATTTACAAACATTTACACTAATATCCTTGTGTCCTTATCTAATAACTTTAATGCAGTGGTTTTCCTAGCACAACCAGCCAAGATGACAGTTTAAATGTCCCCCATCTACATGATCAAGAAGGGAGTCGCACATGGTTTTGCCTTTTACCAGCAATTCAACATCTAATTGTATCAACTTATTGTCATTGGTGAGAAGTCTCAAGCATGAGCTGATAACATAACTAATAGGCCTAATCAGTTGTCGACCAAAGTGAAGAAAGGAAGAAACTTATCATCTTTTATCCTTTCAATCTAACTTCATCCACAAATTTAAGGCCCCATATCAACCTGGCCAAAAGGCATAAGCACATGGCTTTGCCTTTTGTTGTTAGTAACATAACTTCAGCTCCAACTCAAAGCCCGTCTACAACCTCTTGTATAAATAATCCTCCTTTCATGAGCCTTTTCATCATAAAACAAGCATTATCAGTTCATTCATCAAAGATCCCTAAGGTTCTAATTTACTTTCTTGTTTCTAGTTTTCCAGAGCAATGAAGATGCTTAGTACTAAGAAACTCATCAATATGGCCAAGAGATGGCAGAAGTTTGCGGCAAAGCAGAGGAAGAGGATTTCATCTCCAAGAAATGCCCGTGATACAGACAGTTGTAATACATCCTCATCCTCTGTAGTTGAAAAGGGTCACTTTGTAGTATATACGGCTGACCAAGCACGGTTCGTCATTCCCTTAGCTTACCTTGAAAATGAGGTCATTGGGCAACTTTTAAGCATGTCTGAAGAAGAGTTTGGGCTACCGAGTGGTGGCCCTATTACATTACCGTGTGATTCAGACTTCATGGACTACATCATTTCACTAATCAAGAAAGGTTTATCTGCTGGAGATCTTCACAGAGCATTGCTCCTCTCAATTACTTCATGTTGCTGTTCAACTTCTTATTTGCACCAAGAAAGTGGAAATCAACAGATTCTTGTTTATTGAGTCATGACATCATGTTTTGTAAATGATAGCACAAAATAGATTGTATAGCAGTTGAAAAAAAGACAACAGAAGGCCTGTATTATTACAGATGGAATAGAGCTTTATCTTGAAATTAACATTCGATACCATACTTGTGGCAGGACAAGATAAAATGTCAATACGGTTATCAAACAATAAAATGTCAATAAACACAAAGACCAGTGAACAAAAGCATCAGGGTTATAGTATAGATACTGCTATCTCTTGTCATGAGCTGCCTGCCTAGAGCTTCTTAAGAGAGGCTCTGAGATGGGGCTGAAGACCAATTAGACTTGTAGCCATTTCCACGACATACGATAGTTTACAATTCTCCACTTTAAAAACTCGAGTAATCTCCTTGACCTGTCCATCAGGAAAGTCAAAACTTCAGCTACCTCCACCAACAATCAAGGGTTTCTTTTCCAAACTTTGATACAAAAGGCCATGTCAATCTTGATTGAAAAACGAAAACTTATTGCAACTACAAAATGCTTTCTCATTGTTTATATAAGGATTCTCTTATGAAATTTCTAGTTAGATGAGCAGTGCTGCAAGAGGAGGTTACCTTGGAAGCATTGCCAACCAGTTCGCTGCTAAGCTTCACAACTCCCTCTTCCATGTCATATGTTCCTTTCTGTAGAATCAAAGTAGAAATATTATAATTTTATGGTTGACCAAATGGATAAACAACCCGAACACGCGACATGTACAATTGACCTCCTGGATTGTCAATGAGTCTTGTTTTTTAACATCAAAAGTCACTTCAAATTACCAGGGAAAAAATGTCCTTAGCACATCTAAAAAATCTGATAACATGAAATTCTGAGGCATGATCCATGAATCACAGAAATGAATTTAAGTGATACACTCGACAGTTTACATTTTTGTACAGTATCAGTGAAACTTTACCTTCAATACCAATTACCGTACATACAGTAGGTTGATTACTATTTTTATCAGGTTACGAATTAATTTTGTAATATATATTTAGCTATGATTACCTTATAAGTGACTTGATACTGTAAATATGTCTGTGCACATAACTTAAACTCCGCAGAAATAGTCTCTCAAATTTGGGTTATTGTTGCAAAGTTTTTATGTAAAATGTCTATGGATGCAATAAATTGCATGTTATTCATAAGGAAATTAAAACACCTGGACTTCAACAAGACCAGTGCTCTGAGCAATGACGACTTCAATAGTTCCGTCGAGTTTAGGTCTCCAATATCCACTCTCAGAATGCATAGGTTGTCCAGATTTCAAGTTCCATGTCTTTTGAGAATAAGCTATCACAGGCTGATAATAAAAGAAGCAAATTTTAGGCAAAATATATCACATGTACAGTCAGGAGTTGTATTTTGAGCCGAGGGTTTAATAAAATAAAAAATTTAAAGTTAAACTATTTCCAAATATATCATTATCTTTTACACCTACTAAAACGGAAAGTGTGTTACATAAATTGGGACAAAAAGGAGTCTAATTTCTTGAGGAATAGGATTCAATTGAATCTCCTAAATTGCATTTAGCTCCGAAATTAAAAGGAAGCTAACCTTGTTGGGAGAGTGTGAAAATTGGAGCTCTTCGGAATAATTGAAGGAGGAAATAGTTGGGAAAAATCCCTCTCCTTCACCTCTCCAAATCCCAAGCAGAAATGATATAGGTTTTACTGCCGGATGCACCGGCAACGTTTCCGATTGATTTGACACAGTTCCCTCATCCACCATAATTTTTTTTCCTTTTCTTCTTCTTTTCAGCTAAAAGACAGAACTGTTGAATTCCCCCATACTTATTAGAGTACATTGCATTGACCAAGTAAATAGGCCTGCTTATCGGGCGCACTGGACGGATAACTACGCTTAACGGTTATCGGATTATAAATATAGTGATCCGCCAGCCATTCAATAAGACAACGAGCGAATTGGTATCGGATTAACAATTATCGGGCGGCTTATCGGCTAAATCAAATAAAAACTTTTTGAATAATCATTCAATCAATACCATATAGTTTTAAATCAATACTAAATTTTTAATACCATCTAAGATCTAACCAAACGGTATTTTTGAATTGAAGAGTCTTCAAGACTACTCATACTGTCATACATGTATTAACCAAATTTTTAATACCATCATGACTACTCATACAGACATACACGTATTAATCATTCACATTTCAATTTTTTTGACTTCTTAATTTAAGAGAGAGACGAGATTGATTACTTCTCTACCTCTGGTGGCTGTATTAATCATTCAGATTTCGATTTTTCGACTTCTCAATTAAGAGAGAGACGAGATTGATTACTTCTCTGCCTCTGGTGACGGCAGACAATTGAGAATTAGAAAATAGAAATTAGGGATTTAGCCATTTAGGGTTTCAATAGTATTTTATATACATAGGGGTAAAAGTATAAATATAAAAATTATTGACGGGTTAACGGTTTACCCAATAAGAAATTTGAGTAATCCGCCCCCAAACCGTTAAGCTGTTAATTATAAAATCTCAATCCGTTCACCATCCGATATCAATAAACCAATAAGCCATCGGTTCGGTTTGGTTAACGGTTTCGGTTCGATTTTGAACACCCCTGCGAATAAATGCTAGTACTATTTGGACGGCTGCTTATTATGACTACATAGCTTTGATTTGACCAATAAAATGAGTTCCTTAATTTCAATTTGTGTGACATAATTTGACTTTAACATAAAATTTAAGAAATATTTTTTTTATATTCCAATTTCTTTGATAGACTATCTTTTTAGTTTGTCACAAAAATAATATCAACTTTCTATATTTAGAAATAATAGCTTTAATATTTTCATTTTACACTTAATGAGATCATTTATAGTCAAACACATGTTTAAAGCTTATGTGTCCAGTCAAATATACCATAAAAATTGGGATGGAAAGAGTAAGACTTCTGAAACTTTGGTTTTTAAATATAGCAAAAATTGACGTGAAGAAAGATTTTCATTAAGAATAAAATAAAAAATTTAAAGTAAAATTATTTCAAAATATTGAATGTGTTATTCTTTTTGGAAGCCGAGGGATTGCTATAAAAATAACGAGAAGAAAAAGTTAACCATGTTGTGCTTAGATGAGTTACAAGGCTGCATCTATCATGATGACCTTCTATAGATAGAAAGAGTAATAGTAGAGAATTCATGCGTTTTGTGCTCTTTGTTTTGGCTTTCAAAAATCAAATGTATAGGGAAGTATTCCTAATTCAAAAGAAACTTTTGTCAAATGCTGCATCTTTTACAAATAAGACATAATAAAGAAAACTTTGTTCAAAGGTTGACTTCTGTACTGTTATCATTCTGCTATCCTGAAACAAAAGTCAAGAACCGTGACTCTTCAAATAGAAGACTTTAGCCTCTATTTTCCATTTAACAAAACTAAAGGTCAAAAATACTAGTTCAGCAATATTCTTCTGTTTATATTGAATCAGGTTCTTCTAAATCCTGCTGTCCAATAGCTATCTGTGAGTGATAAAAAATGTTGCACGATTTTAATGACATTTAATGCAGTATTTTTTATATAAAGAAATTGCAGTGTGACCTATGGTCACGAGTTGGAGCCGTGGAAGCAGCCACTCATGCTTGCATTAGGTTAGGCTGTTTACATCACACCCTTAGGGTGCAGCCCTTCCCCGGACCCTGGGTGAACACGGGATGCCTTGTGCACCGGATTTCCCTTTTTTAGAAAAAAGAAAACTGTCAAGATTGAAAGTACAAGAGGAGGGTGAATTATTTATTTTTATATTTTAATCGCTACAAGTTGATTATTTTTCTAATTAGTCGATTAGATGTAATAATGAGATAATAAGAAGAGCAGAATTCAAGATGCAGAAATAAAGTGCAGGAATTAAAGACACCAAAACTTTTATACTGGTTCGGATTCAATGTGAATCCTAATCCAGGCCCCTTGGGTTGCAAGGGAGTTCTCTTTCAGTGAATGAGTTTCTTGAGTGCAATGTGAATGGTGTGGTTTACACCGTTGACTCAGTTTCTATGTTACTCGTTTCTTTTTGATACAATGCCTCACAAGTATTTTTCTCTCTTTCTTCTCTAACTTGTTACACAGCAGATCTAGTAGAGCTACAATATTTGTTTGCAGTAGAACAAAGAGAGGGTATTTGGTTCGTTCAAAGTATGTCTCTCTAAGGCTTAAGGATGTGAATAAATACTTTGTAGGAGGCCGTTGCTGAAGAGATTTCCAACCCAAGAGATTTGATCCTTGGAAAGAAATTGATTCTTTCCAAGAATAAGGTTATCTGCCGTTGCTCTTCCTTGATGAGAGGACTTTAATAGCTTTCCTTCTACAGGTCTTGATAGCGCCGGATTTTCTCCTTGATTTTTAGTCCTTCCAGTAATAGCAATCTTGCAAGATCTTCGATACTTCTTTTCCGCTTCAATCAATCTCGGATTGATTTTCTTGCCGGATCTTTAGTTGTTTCAATCTTTAATTGATTCCTTCCTTGTGATTACTTCGATCTTGGATGCTTTCCTTGAGTCCCTATACCAATAGCAATTATATTATTTTTCATCATTAAAACTAAAACCTAACAATCTCCCCATTTTTGATGATGACAAATAATATATGTAAGCATCAGTTGACTTCCCTGTATTTTACTCCCCTCAATGAGTGCAGTTGACTCCCCCTCAATAGGTGTTGTTGAGACTACTTCCTTTAGTCGACTTCTTCTGCAGAATCTATGACTCCCCCTCAAGAGGTGCTGTTGGGACTACTTCTTTTAGTCAGTTTCTCCTATAGTATCTATAGTCGACTTCCCTTGCAATGGATGTACCTGCACGAATATACATATATCCTTTCTCCCCCTTTTTGACATCAGCAAAGAGGGGATAAGTTAAAAACATACTATATACTAAAACGGGATTTATAGCATGATATGGTTGCAGAGTTATGGCGCAAAACAAAAGAAAAGAAAAATCATCCAATGACTGGTTATCCAGTCCAAAACAGCACAGCAAAAGATATTGTCTAAAACTTCCACATTAATGACGCAATAAATAAGTAAGAGTGTTGCAAATCGCCTCCTTTAGTTGATCAAAGCTGGCATTGGCTGAGACAGTCACTCCATCAAGCCTGTCGTGTACCTCCTTGAATGCCTTGACTGTGTTTTCCCTAACTTTGAGAACTGCAACTTTTATCTTTGAAACATCAGACCCTGTCTCTTTGGAGATTGCATGAATGTCTCCAATAGTGGACTGAGTAGTAGCAAGAAAATCTTTGATGGCGGACAGCTGATTGTCAATGGCAACTAGTTTCTCAGCAAGGCCAGGGTCACTGGGACTATGATGGGAAACAGAGGGTTTGGATTTTGGATCAGGTTGAACATGTTTGACCTCACCTTCTTGTTTCTTAACCCATGAGCCCTTCACACACATATATACCTCATACTCGAAAACGCTCTGGAATTGTAAGATTTTGAAACAGAGATGGAAATATTATGAGCTTTCAGAATGCGAGTGATGGCCATGCCATAAGGAAAACTAGTGGGATCATCAGCACTTTCAATCATAAAATTGATGACCCAGGAGGATCATTTGATCTTGAGTTTTGTCACAATGCAATAGACAAGAAAGGTATCTCTTTGAGAGAAGGTGGAGAAAGAGCCAGTACGAGGAAACAGAGTAGTTGCAACAATGTGGGCTAGAACACGAGTTTCAAAGCTAACATCACTTGGACCTAACTGGCTTGGGAGAGATTCAGATGGACACTCAGCAATACGCCGTTTTGCTTGATGAAAGGTGATATCAAAATCATCAAGCCAGGAATTTTTGAAAAGCATGGGAAAATCAGAACACTTACACTGGAAAATTGAATCAAACATGGCACAATCAAGAATAATGCGCTTCCCTAACACTAAGTATTCTAACTTGTCAGACTTACTAGAACGAAGATTTGCATAAAATATTTTCACTAGGGATTCATAGACTTTAGGAGAGGAAATAGAAAAGAATTTTGACCGGCCTTGATAAACAAACAGATCTTTTACCTTACATTTTAGGGCTTCCATGTCATCAAGGTCGACTACCCTTCCATGAGCAATTGGCTTGTCTTTCAAAGCAATGAAGAAATCCTGTTTGGAGAATCCCAAAAACTTAGGTCAGACTCTAAGGAACTAGAGAGATCTATTTTCGACTTCTTTGGAGTAAAGGATTTAGGGGGTTCTTCCATAGGTCTTTTTCCCAGGGCTTTTTCTCCTAAAGTATGAGAATGATTTGAGAGGTCCGCCTGAGAGGAGGCAAAACCTTCCGAATGGTCGGACCCTATGTCTACTTGTTCTGGAGGCTGAGACAGGGGTTTTGCTCTGCAGCGAGTACTCTTCCTGGTAGAGGCTGAAGGATTTTTAGAGTGTTTGTCCATGGGAGAGCTTTGGTGGGAGAAAGTTTGGAGAGGGTTTCTAGGCGATGGGTACGATGGAGATTGAAAAGGGGTTTCAGGTATTAAAAGAAGGGTTTCTGACGGTTGAGTACAGAAAAGGAAGGGGTGTCAGTTGATCAGACGTGATGATTGGTTTTCCTTCTTTAAACTCTGCAACTTATGTGAAAAGAGAGGAAAAAAGAGGGAATTCGAAGGCGCAATTAATGATTAGAAAAAAATATAAAGTTTGAACATTAGGCATGCAAAAAAATAAAAGTAAAACATAGGTCCTAATATTAATGATTAATGCAAATAATACCAAGTAATTCTCCTAAAAAGCAAAATCTATCCTCTAATAAAGGCTTAGTAAAAATATCCGCTAATTGATCAGTAGTTCCAACA